TTTATTGTTTGTTTTTAAGTAGCTTCTTTATCAAATATTACCACCTCTTAATACGCATTTAACCGCGTATGTTAATCGGTTATTATTAACCGACTATTATTAGTCGTTTATTATTAATAGGCTATTATTAAAGTGAACGTTTTTTTTTAATTTTCATATTTGCCTTATTAAATCTCTGTAGTTATGAATGCTGAAAACTGAAATATAGAGTGATCTCTTCTTACCAAAAACTGAAGTATTGCTACGAAATATTTTTTTAATTTTAATATATAAATATGTCACAACTAAGTTTCAAAATTTCTCAAACTTATATATATATTATACTGCAGTACAAATATTTACAACTAAAATAGCCTAAAAATATTTCCCAATTGAATTTTTTATGATTTTTTATAAGTAATTAAAACTAGCTTTAAGATAGAAACACTTCTACACGTATTCTACAATTTGATAAGTGAAAATTAATATATTACTGCATTTAGCCAAAATAATGCATTTATTAAATAATAATTATTATTTAAACCAAGATCTTTAAATGTCTTATTTAACATCAAATATAGAAGGCCGTAAGCAAATTATTATTATAAATTGAAATTTCCTGAGAAGATTATTTTAAAATCGTAGGCTGAAATGACAGATGAGATTTTGAATAGCAATACTCATTAAAAATATCTGAATTGCATCAATTTATACATATTAAGTAATATTTAATACATATTATCTGAATTTATTTTCTTGGCAAAATAATTGATTATTTCTTATCAACAGAAATGCTGAATAAATTACATAATGCTTATAAAAGAAATTATGAAAACACTCAAACTCTGAACACTTGTATTCTATATCATAACCGGTAACAATGACATATCATTATACAAAATGAAAAATTAGATTTCCGCGCAGATTAAGAAATAAGGAATAATTATTTAAACTAAATAAATCAAGTTTTCAAAATACCAATGTAATAAGTAGTAACGCATTAAAATTAAAACGTCTTTTTTGTTACAAAAATATATGATGCATAGTGAATTAATAACAAATCTGTATTTAAAATCGTCAAATGATAGAAGTGTCGTCAATATCGTTTTGATTTAATTTCAGTATAGTTACTTGCATTTAACTTCATATTACTTCTTAAAATATCATTGGGTTTTATTTTTGACAACATTGGAACTATTTTTGGCAACATTGGAAGAATTTATGGACAATAATAATAGTTTTTGCTAGTTACTCATATTTTTAAGGGTCTGAACTTTATCAAAAAGTGTAAAAATGCTATGGCTTTAAAATAAAAAATATACGAACAACATAAACCAAAATTGAACAGGAATCCTGACTGCTTGTCAGCTATATAAGGAATTTATTTTGTGAGCTCTATTAAAAGTTTATTGGTTAACAAAACTTTAGAACTATTTGCCTCAGTGTACCTTGAAAGTTAAATTTTATGGTCTTTCTAAGGCGATATTGTGATATAATTTAATAAATAATTTGGGTTACTTAATATTCATCTCCTCAACTATCTAATAAATTCAATTAAAATTCAGAAGGCAAGAAAATTCGGAGGCCAAGCATTAATATGAACTATCAATCGCGAAGAAAATATCAAAATGCGCTAAACGGCAGTCAGCATACAAGGAAAGAAAATGCTTGATATTTAGGCATCTAATATTGAAAAATATGCCTTTCACCTAATATTAAGTGATTTTATGACGAAAGGATTGGAAAAATTATATACAGATCGTGAATTTCTGAATCAACAAAAGTGAAAAATTCCGTGAAAACAATACAGCTACCAAATAAATCATAACAATAAGCAACATTGGCTAAAATTGGTATAAATTTCCACATGTAACTGTACTAAATTCAATCTTAGAAAAATACTTATTCCAAATATTAAATATTCTTTCAGTTTTCTTAGAATATTTCTTCCTTTCTCTCTTTGTCTAAAAAGATAAGAAAAGTTCTTCGAAAACTGAACACTAGCCAGAAAATTCTCTTTTTTTAAGAAGCAGTGCTTTTAAATCGAGCTTCAAATGAATTTTTAACGCCTCTACGAAATCGGGCTTTAGCGCTAGGGAAATCAAAATAAAGCATTTAGCGCAGTAAAAAAAAATATTAGAGTAATTGACCTGTCAGTAAAAATAAGGGAAGATGCTATACAGAAAAAAAAGACCTGCAAAAAATGTTCGTCATCTTCTGAAATGATCATTTCTTATAAATGACATTAGAATCGTCATTTCCTTCCTTTGATAAGAACGAAGAGAAAAAAATGAAGGTAAAGAATTGACAGCTCGTCAGTGATGAAGCACATCCGTAATCATAAAATCGAAATAAATTGCCTCGGAAATTGGGTAGGAAAGGAGAGAAAAAGATTTCCTTCTTTATGTATGTCAAAAATGAGATAGATATGAAAGATTTTAAAAGCCCATACATCAAGTCATTATAGTATTACTTTGAAAGCTTTGCGAGCAAGGTAGGAAAAGGAGATGCATTGATTCTTTGAAGAAAGGTTCAGAACCGAGTAGATACGATTCCAGTAAACAGTAATTGCTAAACCGATATTTCAAATCACAGATTTCATTTGAATTAAATACATTGGATTACTTGTAAGGTTTTTGAATGGAATATTATGAAATTGGAAAGCAATTAAATTATGCACACTATGGTTCCAATGAAATTTATGACCCACTCACATTTTTGACATTCATGAGAAATGAAAAGTATTCTTAAATATGATTCTTTTGCATTTTATGCGTTGGAATGTAAAGCTCTTTCATTCAATTAAATTGATCATAGATTTAACGTACTTCAAGTATTGTAATTTCATGTCAAAGCTTCAATGCTACCCGTATCTATCATTAAATTGAATAATTACATTATTCAGCTATCTTATTTTAATTGCTAAATTTTCTAAAGCACTCCAAATCGTTTAAACAATTTAAAATACTTAATTTTAAATTCATTTATATTGGCTAAACGTTGTGCAATTTTTATCATTCAAGGAAAATGCTTAGTTTTGATTTTATAACTGTAATCGTGCAGGCAAATCTATATTTTATAAACTATTCAGACTTAATATTCATCGAATTATTAACTAAATATATCTAACTATAAACTATCGAGTATCAACTAAAACTTACTTCCTTAAAAATTGTATTGCTTATGTATATGAAAAATGCGGTAAATGTAAAATATTTTATTAGAATACTTATCATAATATTATTTTAATAGGTTTACGAGCAAGTTACGAAAAGTAAGGAGATGCATTAATTCTTTGCACCAAGTAAATCCAATTCCAGTAAACAGTAATTGCTAAACCAATATTTCAAATCATGCATTTTATTCATATTAAATACAATAAATTAATTGCAAAATTTTTGAATGAAATTTTAAGAAATTGGAAAGATTTAATAAATTTTTTTATTAAGATTTACAAAGAATAATTTAAATTTTTTTTCCAACCTTGAGAAATTTAAGGTATTTTAGAATAGGAAATTAAAGCATTTAATGTCATAGGATCTAGAGATCTTTCTTCCTTTTAAATTGATAACAGTTTTAATTCACCTATAATACAATACAATTTTGCATGAAATTTTCTTAATTCCATGCATATGCAGAAAGAGATTCGTAAACAAACTACGTTTAATAACTCATTCTGTTGGTATCCAACGTTAAATTGGTTGAATAATTAAAAATGCATTATTTTAAACACATTTTAATCTATATGCTGAGCAATGTTCATCATTTAAAAAAAAAATAAACTTTTGTTTTTATTTTATCTCAGTAATCTTATGGACAAACCTATAGTTTGAAAATTAGACTCACTATCACAATATTATTATATGAACATGAACGATTAAATAACGCTTGAATTTACTGCACTTTATTTAGTTAGTGTCTTGTTTCTAGTAAATATATTATCATTTTTAACATTTTAGTTAGAAATCTTAAATAATATTTTATTATTAATATTTTATTTTTTATTATTTGGTAAAATTTAAAATCATCCGGGAAATGTCTGTAATGTTATTGAATTACAAACAGCAAACATTAAAAAAAATGTCTTAATTTTCTGGAAAAAAAATATATTGATGTATCTTCACATCATCATAAGTATTTGCCTCCTTGACTTTTACAGATCTACTGCGTTTAGTTATATAATATTATATAATATATTCAACTAATTTTTATTCAAATAAACGTTTTCAAACATAATTACTTTTTATGAAAAATAATCGTATATTGTAAGAATTGTACCGAAATTGTATTCAGGTCTAACGGCCAGCAATGAAAATCGTCGCAGTTAAAGAAATATACTCTCAAAGAATCTGGTTGCAATCGGTAACGATAGAAGAGTTTTTGTAAAATTAAAATTTAAAAAAAAACGCTATGCAGAGGATATTGTTTAAAAAGTATGTGGTTTTAATTATAAGCTGCAGATCTACATCGGAGGCCGAGATAGCCTGGTCGGCAGGGATCTTGGTCCATGTCCGAGAGTGCGTGGGTTCGAACCCCGCCAGCCGAAGACTCTCCGTGTAGTTGGTGACTGATGCACGTTAAAATTCTGTCCAGTCGCAAAGTCCTCCATGTTCCCATAGCAAATCAGAACCTCTGGGGGCACTGGATTGGAGACCGATAGTTCTCTGATTCAGGTCAAAATTACGATCTGTGGATGAATGAATGGATGTATGAATGGGTCCTCCTTATAAACAGGTGTGACGTATGATGTGGCAGAAGTCGAATTCTTGGCCATAGATGGCGCCACTGAAAAACAAGAATCGCCCACTCTGCCTTAAATTTGCTCGGTTTCACCAAGCAGGCTTGCCCGTGTGGCAATGCAGACATTGGAACCAACCAACCAACCAGATCTACATCGCTATGCATTTAAGAATTAAAGTAAAACCAATAATCCAATTTAAATTTTTACACAAAATCAAAAGTTTTGTTTAAAAAAGTTATTAATTCAAAAATTCTAATACATATTTATTTTCCTTTTACAGATTCGCCAGTTTGTAAATTCGCAGAACAACAAACGTACAATATATTTCAAGGGGAAGCTATAAATATTACTTGTGATGTGGAATCTCTGCCAAGACCATCGGCTTTTCAGTGGACTCTCAACAACACTTTAAGAAGTACCGTAGACCTAAAAAGACGTCACCCTAAAATATTTGGCGCTTTGCACTACGTTCCGCGATATCTTGGAGATTTTGGAACTATTATGTGCTGGGGAAAGAATGACGTCGGAGTGCAAAGAATACCTTGCATATTTCATCTAATACCCGAAGGTAAATAGATGGACCAATGTCTGATATTTATTTAGAAATATAATTTAGTTGATAGTCGAATTTTCAAGAGACGGTTCTAAAAATGAATCATAAATTCGTAGGAATTATTTATTGGACATAAATTACAGTTAAGTTTGCTTTTAATTTAAGTTTCATCTATAACAGTACTGATCAAAACTACCGGAATATGGTAAAATCTACTGTGTTTTAGGTTTTTGGGGTACACTAAGAGGTCGGTAATTTTTACCGAACCGCTTTAGTGATGAATTATGTAAAATGTGGTAAATGTGGTAAAATTTGGTAATTTTATCATGATACCACTTAAAAACCATTTAGTCAGTAAAACTTGCTTTTCAATTTTTTATTTTTTAACAAAATGCATGGTAATAAAAACATCTTAATTTTGATTAAATATAATCTTAATTTTGAAAACCAGAATTTCCAGTAAACCGTTATCATATGAACGGAAGAATTGCCTAATGAATGGCTTAAAAACCGTATATTTAGGTTTTATTATTAGAATTATGTTGTTGTTCTTTATTACCCGAAATGTTTTTACTGTACAGTTTGGTAATTTTACACGAAATTTTTTCACCTTTTGCCTGTGTGATTAGATAATAATTAAACTTTTCTTTATTTGAAACTCTTCTAGAAAACAGATTTTGTAATGTTCAGTATGAAAATGTGAAAATGTTAAGATTGTTTAATTTTTTCTAGTGATTTTTTAATAGTGTTTATTAAGTAGATGTATAGGTCACTTCAATTATAGTATTATTTACATTGTTGAATCTTACAAAAATGGTAATGTATTTTACTTTGGGAGAAAATATTTATATTGATAGCTTAGTTTGTTTTTAATGTGAGATTCTCGGTGTAATAAATTTCACCACTGTTACGTTATAAATTAATTCTTAAATTCTGTGGCTCGATAGTGACAACATAATTCAAAATATTGAAACATTAGACTATTTTTTATTCTTACTTAAATTAAGTTATTCGAATGTAATATCAAGCATGATTTCAAAAGAGTTAAAAAAAACAATAAGGCACTGAAAAAAGCTGCGTTCGATTCAGGAAAAATACTGTTTTAAAATGCTTAAAAAAGAAATCTTACTTTAAAAATTTTCACAATTTAATACTTTTTTTATTATCTATTCATAGTGATAGGATCATAATTTAAAAACTACAAATATTATGGAGGAAAAGATCACATTGTTTGAATATGCTGAAGCATTTATCATATAATTTTTAACATGCTTATATTTTTTTAATCATCAAATATTTGAGATGTTAATCAAAAAATTTACATGCGTGTTGGTTTACTAAAGATAATGCAATTTCATTAAATAACTGTGTTCAGATTGCGTGTAATAAATCTATAGAGTAATGAAAAGGATTCTTTCAAAGTTTAAAAAAAATGGAAACAAATTAGGTTTTTCTAATGAAAACCGATTTTTTTTATGCTTGAAAAAATTCAAACAATATATATTTTATTTAAAAGCGTTGATAATTATACTAAATATCTTTCAGAAATCTTTTTGATTAGCATTTTTTAGAACACTTCATTTATCAAGCTTAAAAAATAAACATTTAAACTAGATTTGTTGAATTTTTACCTAAGTCTAAAGTCATACAAAGGAATATAAGAGCTTTTATCGCAAAAATACCAGATTGTCAAAAGGCTGAAAAAATAAGGTAATTATATGGTTATGCATGAGAAACAAAAAACCAGAAATGCCACATTAGCTTTAATGAAGTAAATGTCAATTTGTCAAATGGCAAGTGTCCACAACTTTGACAAAGTGATAGCGTTTCCCAGTTATAGCTTTTTTTTACAGCATTAAAGAATTTTCATCATGCATAAACTAATTAATAGAAAACGCATTCTTTTTGTATTCATTTTCATCAATGGCGTCAAACATTATAATGGATGTTTAGAAGGAAACGGAAAAAAATTATGAAAAATGGATAAAAAAAAATTTCCCAGTCACGTCAAACTCCATACTTATTTTTATTTTTCAAATATTTTTACACACGATTTAGTCTGCTTCGATTGGCAAAGAAGAGCTGATTCAATTCGCTTTTTTTCCCACAAAGTTTCGCTTTACTAAATTAATTTTCTTTTTCATTGTAAGGCAGTAGAGGGTGTCTTACAAATTACCTTGAGTTTAATTAATTTACAAACTTGACATTTAAACTATTTATCAGTTTGATTGTCATTCGCAGGTGTTAGTTATCCAATGTGTGAAAAATCTTTCACTAAAATAATCGCGTTTTTTTTTTCATTTTTCTTTTGTGGTTAGTTTAGTTTCATTTTTATCTTTTATGTTTAAGAAACTTTAAGTATATTTAATGAAGTTCGACAATCACGCCGGCATATTTGAGACACATTTTATCAATAGTTTAATTGAAATATAAATAAATATTTTTTGAAAGAAATTTATATAAATAATTTTTTTAAAGAATTCATTTTTTTAAGAAATGAAAGAAAATTTTATAAGGATTTATTTTGGATTGTAAGTTTTTAAAAAACAGTTTTTTTGGCAATTTTTTCCAGTAGGCCCAGCACAATATATGAACGGTTCCTTTTTTCTGTCTGCCTTTTACAAATATGAAGCAAATGCTAAACAGTGATACTGAAAGTAAAATATTATAACTTGAAATTAGATATAACAACATGAGATATAAATACAATAATAAGAAAAAAAATTATAGAAAAGTATACAGTATAAAATTCCAAGTTGCGATTACGTAAAGATGCTAATGTCACAAGTTGAAGAATACTAGAAGAAAATATTTTAAGTTGTAATAAAATAAATTAATACCGCGGATGAGAAATCAAGGGTTCAAAATAGCAAGAGAGAACCTAAAAACATTAATCTGAAATTTTGAAAAGCACTACAGGAAATAACCTAACTATCAAAAAACAAAAAATATTAAAAAGAAATTAAAATGGATGCCCTGACATATATGACTGCTTGTTCAGGGGGTATTAGCATGGAGCCAGTGCGGGAGCAGTTTCAGCGGTTGACGATAAATTACCGCAAACAAATATACCCCGACTGCCCAAGAAAAACAAAAGGAACTAACAGCAAGTCAGATGAAGACTACATACCGTAATCTTGAAGACCGAAGTGGAATTTCAAAGAATCAGCAAACGGTAAACAAAACTTTTCGAATAAATTTAGAAAGTTGTAGGTTCGAGTATAAAATAAGTTTGTTGGTTGGACTATGTATTATGAAGAAAAAAAAATTTAAGAAAAACTCTATAAACATTAAATGAAATAAATCAATGTTTCAAAATAATCCAATCGAACCTTAAAAGCTTGTGTGGCTCTTCTATAGCTAAAAGCTACGCATTCCTTCGCCTCGGACGTCATTACTAGACTGAATCAGGTATATATCTATATCTATTGTCAGGTTCCTGTCTGCTGTTTTTATCCTTTCTTTTGAATGACCAAGTTCTCAGTTCTCTTTAGAGGTAATAACTTATTTTATTTCATCTTAAATATCTTTCATATATATATATATTGTGTTCAGNATATATATATATATATTAAATTAACTCTCATTCCCCCTGATTTGAATGTTGTCATGTCTTGTTTATTTTCTTGTCATGTCCTGTTTAAGACACATTTTCTGACATTGCCTTTTAAAAGAAGAAAAAAGATTAAAAAATTGTATCTGTACATATCATGTCAATGACAAGGGTTGTCATACAATTCCAACATAGAAAATGGCATGCATGAGAATGTATTTTTACTTTTATTTTGCTTGATGGAAAAATAAAATGACATCTCTTAATACCGGATGCAAAATAGCAACAAAACCTGTACTTCTTGTCAAAAGGTTGCACATCTCTTCAACAATTTCCTGTGCAATATTTGTGGTAAAAGATCAGATACGAGACACATTTGATGAAGAGAAAAATTGTTATTAGTAAAATGTTATTTAATGTATTCACTGTAAACAAAAAATTCGGATGAAATTGCAATAAAAAGGACCGGCACGTAGGGTTCCGGTACTTTTACCTAAAGATCCATTTTTGCCGGGGAATATTACGGAGCAAAAAATATAATATATTGTCATTTGTACAGTAATAATTACCGTAAAATCACTGAAATACTCTAATTAAATAAAAATTACTAAATTTACGGTCTAAACAAATCTTACGGATGATGCACCAGATGTGCTAGTACATTATACTGAAATTTGATCCCAAATTTTTAACAGTGCACTGTTAAAAGTGTCAGTAATTTCCTATAAGTTGGCTTGTCGATGCTGCTCTTAAGTAATACAAGTTTTATACCTAGATATGGACACAGCACTCTTGAAGACTTTCCGCAATGATGATCTGTATCTTATAATCTTTTATATGAGATCAATGAATAAAAATCTAAGAAGGAGGATGAGAATTGAGGAGGGGAATTCACTAATGCTTAATGTAATGGCGATTAAGAGCCAAAGATATGCTATACTTAAAATCAGTATTCAGTTCAACTGTAAACTTCGTCAAATTTTTGACTTAGAAATGTGTACTCTTAGAAAATGCAACTGGTTGCCTACTGTTGCTAACGAAATACAGGTTATGGTCATATAATGCGTATTTCACTGAAAATGTATTAACTTAAATGATTCTGTAGAGTCTGGTTTCTTTAAAAAAAATATGACTCTAATGTCCAGTTCAGTCAACGATTTTTTTGACAGGTAATAATCCCCAGGACAACTATTTTTTACATTAAAAGTCTACGACTATTTGTGTTTCATCCTGTATATAGTAAAAGCATGCTGAATATTTTTTGTTTTATTTTATTTTTTAACCATCGTTGAACAGTTGACCCAATTTTCGGGTTTACTACTATTAATGTAAAACTCCATACCCTTGTAATATTGAACCCAATCCATAAGACAAGGGAACTTCTGGACCAAGTATTGTGAGAAATTTGCCTTCCTTTAAGACTTTTTGATGGAACTATCCCGCATTTGCGTTATATGGGGAC